ATATCCTATATATATGCTTTTTATAATGATGAAATATTTAATTTCATAAATAGAATTCATACATAAAAATTAACATATAAAAACTAAATGCGTAGTAGAGATGTGCAGGGTAAGCTTTTTTTGTACCCTGTACCCTGTATGAGAAAATTTCTCAGACCCTTACCCTACCCTACCCTGCAGAACCTTACCCTTACCCTACCCTACCCTGTAGAGTCTTACCCTTACCCTACCCTATCCTGTAGAGCCTATACCCTTACCCTACCCTACTACCCTAGAGAGTTCCTTTCTTACTCTTCCTTAATCCTTCCCTATTCAGAAGATTGTAAAAGTGATACGTTGTAAAATAATATCACATTTTTCTGATTTATTTTATTTTTCATTACAATATATTAATTTATAATTCCTTTGAAATTTCTAATGAACAATATATCATCAACAATGTCATCATTTAAACGTTGTCGTCGTTCTTCTAGTATCCTTCCACTTGCACTAAATATTCTTTCACTGGTACATGAACTAGCTGGTATACCAAATAACGATCTGACAAGAATACTAAGTTTTGGATATGTTATTGACCATTTTTTCCACCAGTTTAATACAGACTCTTCATGATTGATTATTAGTTTTGATTTAATATAACGATCAACTTCATCATCATCTTCTTCTTCACTTGAATCAGGTTGATTTTCTTGAGCAAATTCCATCATTACATCCTGTTGTAAAAAATCATCTTTTTTTATTTTTTTTGGTGTTTTTCTTGATGTACTAGTAATAGCTGTTGCAGAAATTTGTTTTTGTTTTTCATCAGGTTCAATGATATTGATTGTTTTCATCATATCCCTTGTAGCTTTATAAACGTCATTTCGTTCTTTTTGACTGTATGACTAAATAGAATAAGTATAAACAACAGATGTATGAAACTTTAATATTTTTTCGCGTATAAAACTTACTAATAAGTTTTTTGTGACAGGATGAAGAAATGTTGCTATATCATGAAGTCGAGTAAGCCAAACTTTTTCTTTTATTTGTTCTAATATCATTTTTTTGAAATATTTAATTGTTGGTAATTCATTATTTTTAATTTCACAACACGATTTTAATTTATTGATCCAAGGTAAAACCAAGTGCAGAGTAGGTTCCTGATCCGAAGATAGTTGTTCACTGGCCACCTTGAAAAACGATAAGATATTACTAATATTTGTTAATAATATATGATCAATTTTATCTAAATAATCGGCATATTCTTTTCTTTCCAAAAGAATATCTTCAATACATTTAAAATTCACATCAATAGAATTTAGCATATCGTAGACTGAGTTCCACCTACTGTCACAGTGTTGCTTCAAAGAAAAGAATAACATATGATTCAGCTCGCATCTTTTAAAATGTGTAACAAGTTCAGCAGCCGCATTAACTAGTAAATGAATATTTGGACATTCCTGAATGGAATGTTGAATAACCAAATTCAAACAATGACCTACAACAATTATTATAAACATAAAATTATTAAACTTTTATGGTCGTAAATAATGTTCTAGAAAATAGAAACACTATTTCTTTTTAGACTTAAAGAAAGTTATCTTTATTAAACAATTAATCTGACTTTCTCTTTAGAAGAGCTCTTTTTTTTCCTACTGTAGAACAAAATTATGTATAATCTATAAAGAATTACTTACAAATGCATCTTAGATGTACCTCATTTTTTAATCCTGAAACGAAGTTTGATGCATTATCTGTTAAATATATAATATGTTTATCATCTGGATCTAAATCATATGATCTCAATACCGATTTAATAATTCGAATTGTATTTTCACCACTTTTAGTTCCTGAGAATAAAAGTGTTTTTAACATATATGTTACAGGATTATCATTTTTTGTATAATGAATGTTTATGGTTAAAAAATTCTCACTTGTATAAGAATTTTTCCAATAATCAGTACTTATTCCAATTAATTTAACTTCTTTTAAATCTTCACGTAAAATGTCATTCATTTTCAAACGATATTCATTAGCAATTTGTTTAATAGTACGTGATATATTTGTACGATCAGGAAGTAATACTTCAACAGATGGTTTACTTAATTTAGCTAAACCATATTTATAACTCAAATCAATCAATGCCTGGCATAATTGTTTAAAACCTTCACCATTAACAGAATTAAAAGAACGCATGTCAAATGCACAATATTTTGAACATGCAACAGTAATCATTCTTTTATCATCGGGAGGTATACTAATATCTTTTTTAACATAATTGTCAATCGGCATCGTAGATTTTGGTAAACTAGTTTTCTTTGTACAACTTTGTACATGGAGATTAAGTGAATTTGTTCCATTTTTTACTTCATATGATAATATTTGTTGACAAATTACACATTGAACAAATGGTTCATATATTCCATTCATATCTTTTATTCGAAGTAAATTTGACCAAAATTCACCTTTTGCAGATGTTGGTCGTTCTTTAGTTGTACACAATCTACCTTCTTTAATTTTTGACACAATTTCTTTTTTTTTATCTTCGATTTGACTTTTTGATAATTTATTTGACATATTTATAAATACACAATAGATCGATTATAAATTACAATATTAAATCAAGTAGATCAACAAATTAATATAAACAAATAAAAAATTGATTCCAATTCATAATACTATTTCAAACGAATCAGTAAATAAGTATAAATACGAGATCAATTATAAATCACGATACTATTTCAAATAAATCAGTAAATAAATATGAATAAATATTAAATCGATTGAAACCACAATACTAATTCAAGTAAATCAATAAACAAGTATAAATAAATAATAAACTGATTGTAACTCACAATACTATTTCAAGTGAATCAATAAATGAATATAAATCAATAATAAATGAAATGAAAATTACAATACTGTTTCAAGTCAATCAATAAATGAATATAAATCAATAATAAATGAAATGAAAATTACAATACTGTTTCAAGTCAATCAGTAAAAATAGATATGAATAATTAATAAATCGGTTTTAATTTACAATATTAACTCAAGTAAATCAATGATAGAGAAGATGATAAACAATAGATCGATATTCTTTCCTATCGACTTAATCCTATAATATGGTGAAATGACTGGTCTTTAATCGATCCATTAAAGTAATCATACAAGGAAGATGTCACTAGAAAATGATCATTCCTCTATAATCCTGTGAGGATATCAATGTAGTGAATAATAATCCATCTGTACATCTGCATCAAGACTCTTTTATTCTCTTACCCTTACCCTACCCTACCCTGTAACAGTCTTACCCTTATCCTACCCTACCCTGCAGCACCTTACCCTTACCCTATCCTACCCTGCAGGGTAGGGTAGGGTAGGGTAGGGTAGGGTAACCCTGCACATCTCTAATGCGTAGTATGTTTATGAAAAAACAATAATTATATATGAGAAAATACAATGAAAAAATCTTGTAATTTTCTAATACAAATCTACAACGTTCAAGGAGGATATATGCTTGAATTAGAAAATTATTGCAGCCGTCTTTAACATGTTCCGATATATACAAGCTGTTTTTTCTATATGAAATGAGTGAGATAAAGATTGAAGTATCTGAAATACAAAAGAATGAATCCTCTGATCTCAGCACTGGATAATAGGACTATTCAATGAGAAAAATGTTCCCGTTTATGGAGAAATAGAACAAAAAAACATAAACATATATCTATTCTTGTCTGTACATTTGAAATTTAAATAACAGCTACTGTTTTTTTTTTAACATATTAGTTCTCTTCTATATATTCTAGAGGAATCGAATAATAAAATTATTAAAATAATGAAAATTACAACACAAGCAAAATTATCCAAAAGAGAATATTAGCAAGTATTATATAATAGCAAAGCACAATCATACGAATAGATATACAAAACTGCTAATGTTGATATATTCTTCAATCTTGTATTATTTTTAGCAATGCTTTTCTAATATTTGCTTTTATATATTTATTTGAACATTTATAGAATTCAGGCTATCATAATAGAAAAATAAAATTTCTGTAAATCATATCTTAGATTTATTTCTTCAGTATACTATTTCATAAAAAGGAAAAATTAGATTAGATGCTCAATTTAGTTTATGAAGGAACTAATACTCGCCATTTAAATTCATATTGAATCTACAAGCACACAGTAGATAATTTCTATCAACTACATGATTTATTTTCTTTCAAAAACGAATTTTTTTTTTCATAGAAATATTAGTTTCTTGAACTCAAAAAATAAGATTGATGAAAAATGACTAGAAGTTTCATGATAATTATTTTTATTTCATACCACTGCTATCTCAATAGGAGATGTCACCTGTTGAGTATTCAATGATTTGAAATAGAACTTCATAATACACACACACCATTAGATAGAGCAAATCGTTCTCTACAAAATTGCATATATCTTATGTATGGATCAAAACTTTATAGTCGCCTAAGAAAATCCCTGAGATGAAACCTTATCCTAAACTGTAGTAAAAAAAAAACTTTTTATTGTAAAGTAAATTATTCGATACAGTTTTGTCATGCTGATTCCAAATATGTCTTTATTTTTCTCTCACAGTGAAATTTGACCTGTTTTTCTACGATTAAGTTTTTCCAATGAATTTAGCGACTGAGAGAAAAAGTTTTTTTTACTCGAAATATGATTATTAATCAAAGTGTATAAGCTACTATTGAAATCTAGAAAAAGTTCATTTTCATTTCTTTTTTGCACCTAATGTCCACGTTGTTGCTCGCTGTCAATAAGACTAGCAAAAGGATTCGTCTCCATATGTCTTTAGCGCCGATTTACTGGATTTTCAATCCAAAATGTTGACTATGAGTATATCTTGAAAAAAAGAGTCATTAGACCTATCTTTATAATGAATATTTGGACATTAATCATTTATTTCCACAAAAACTATTGTATATTTTTTAAAATTTCAATCATTTTTGTTTCTAGTAGAGAATCTAAAATCTAATAGAATATTTTCAAAGAAACATTGTTTCACAATGTAAACGATGATAGAATCTATATGTTTGTTTAATTTGAATTAACATACCTATAATATATTCTAAGATCATATTCCAACCTAAATAAATATAAACAAACATCAAAATCAAAATTTTAATTTAAAATAAAATTTCCTACCAATAATATACGCCATAATTTCTCCTACACTAACATATGTATATGTATAGGCACTTCCAGCACGTGGTGCTCGTGCACCAAATTCAGCATAACAAAGACCAGCAAGAACTGACGCAATAGCTGCGATAAGAAAACTAAGAATCACAGATGGACCTGCTGTTTCATGAGCTACTTGACCAGTAAGAATATAAATACCTGTTCCAAGTGTCGATCCAATACCTAAAAGAAGTAAAAAAAAAATTCAATAAGAGACTCAAAAGAAAATAATGTATTATCTAACCCAAAATAGTTAAATCGAATACAGTTAAACATCGTCTTAATTCAGAAACATGTAATGTAGTAGTATCATAAGTTTTTTTTCGTGTTAATTTATCATATAATGTATAGATCACACTTGTCATTTTATTTATCTTGTTCAATTATTTATTTTAAACTAATGATAAAGATATAATAACTATAAATATTTCAGTATAAATATAGATTCTATTGCGCTTATGATGATGAATGAATAAACAGTAACATTCTTATCAATATATCGAAAAAATAAAATCGATAGACGAAACAAAATAGGTTTTCTGTTGACAACCAATCATACAAATCCATTCATTTCCAATTTTTATGTTTTTGATTATTAACCACATAGAAAAGACAACAAAAGATGGCGTTATAGATTTTCCTCTCACTTTATTTTTTCTTGATGGTTTTAGATGAAAGTAAAGATAACAGTAGAACAAAGATTAGTAATAGAATAAAAATATCAATAAAGTGAAAAATCGAAATTTTCAATGCAAGAGTAATTTACGAGAGAACTTTATCAAGTGGTAAATCTCTCGCGAGTCGAAATTATATGAATCATGTGTAGACTCTAATGAGTTATAAATACCCTGAAAAGAGTTGAGATTCTGCATTTTTACGGTATTTTTTATCACAATATTGTGCTTCCCCCGTCAGAAACACAAGGAAAAGTGATTTTCGAATTTCAACTTGAAACCTGCACGGCGACAAGCCTAAACGAGAACAGTTTAGTTTGTATTTCAGGATAGGAATATTGAAAAGATCGGAAACTTTTACGATAGACTATTGTCGTTAAGACCTGTCGCTGTACAAACTTTCAAATCGAAATTCGAAAATTAACCTTTCTGGTGTTCGAATGTGGGCCACAGCATTGTGATAAAAAACTGCCGTAAAAATACAGTGTCTCAATGGCAACAAGCTAATAGTTTGAATTCTTTTTATCAAATTCATAGCTCATTTGATTCTACATAATGTACATCGTCTCGAGTCAAGAGCGATTTATCAGTTGAGGATAGAGCCCGTCGGGTTCGTCCTAGACTCAGACCCGATGGGCTCTAGTCGTCTAAGAAATATGTAGGATGCGCAAACTACCGAATAAAAAGAATCGGAAAAAAGTATCTTCAGAGCGGCTTTCCAATTCTGATTAGAAAATTTCATCGAGAGTATCAAAGTACGATTCGAGCGGGTCCGAAAATTTTGGACTCGGGTTGTAGGACCTCTCGTCTTGGTTGAAGCATATTTTAAACTAATAGTGAACATTGACTAGTAGTTTATACAATAATGTAATTATTTTCTAAATAATTCACATCTCTTTAAACAAAGTCCTTTTTTTAAAACAATACAGTCATATTCCAAAATTGTCGAAAATTATTCAGGAAATAACTTATGATTCCTTGTTCATATTGAATTATGAATTGACTCTTCTCTTCTATTTTTTTGTGTATATTTACTCTGAAATAGTCAACAATAGAAGTTTTAATGATTATTTTTCTTTTTCATTACACATAATCTCTAAAAAAAAAAAAGAAATATTTCTGCTATCACACTATTATGATATAATAGAAAAAATGATTAAGAGGTGGGATCTTTCATTGCTCTTCGAGAAAAAATTGCTATGTACTTCTCTAACTTTAAATAAATATCTACTAATTTCTGAAATGTATTAAACTTAGTCTAATAGACAATTGTTAGAATATAGAATTACTATAAAGAAATTTTGTGTCGTTTGAATGCTTGTCGCTCATTGTAATGTATATATATACATGGTTACTAGCGACAGTTGAATTTTTTTGTTATTGGTCGTCATTTAAAAGCAGAAATTACCATACATACAGCATATAGAAAAAAAAAGAAGTAATATTGCGATCGAAGTAATTAATAATTCTAATGAAGAGAGAGATGTTTTATTTTAGATAAATGTATAAACTTTTTCTTTTTTTAGTATATATAAATTTATCATTTTCATGATATGACTTCTTTTTGATTGAATGAAGCATTGTCTAATATTGATAAACTTCAAAAAAAGCTAAATAAGATTTTGAAAATATGACTTTTTTTCATATTTTAGATGCCACCTGTAGGTGCTCGTCATTTTCCTCAATCGACTAGTCGACATTCAAGTGGACGAGATTATCGATCATATATTCGTTTTGATGATCGATCTAGACGTGATAAACGTTATGAAGTATGAAAACTATAGAAAAATAAATAAATAAATAAATCAATTTTGTCTGTATATATAGCAAAAACGAAAACGACGTAGTAGTTCTCGATCGGATCAACAACGACGACGAGATAATACTCAACGTTCATATTCAAAAACATTTGGAGATAAAAAACGACGAAAAATTGAAAGTGATGAAGAATATGATGATTTATTAAAAGAAGAAAATGATCCCGAAAAAAAATTTCGTTTAATTTTAAAAAAACAAAATTCAATTATCAAAAAAACATTAGCAAAATCAGTAAGTAATTTAGTTCATTATTATATAAACTAAATCATATTGTTTTATAGTTTGGTTTGAGTACATCTAGTCTATCGAAGTTATTAGTCGATAAATGTGATGAAGCAATCAAAAATTCAATTATATCAAAATCTAAGTAAGTTCAAAAATATATTAAAATATACATGGAACGTTCTATTATGATACTTATTAAAATTATGTTCTTTATGCTGACAAGGCAAATGCCCGAAAGTGATTAACTACTTTTGGGCACATAGATGGGACCTCTAAACTAGAATAACTCTAAAAGGAGTCGGATCCATGATTCTTATGAGTTGAGATATTGAATTTTCAAGTTCCAGTAGATAAGAAAGATTTTGATTCTTTATTGCGATTATCTTGAAAAAAAAATGTGCGGTTAATTAGAAACTTCATGATAAACTGGCTGCATCATTACTGTGAAATTTTCAGATTTTATCTCGTTTCTATAAGTCATAGCCGTTTTCTTGAAAATCCTAGATCGAACAAAATAAAGTTTTATAGATATCATTTTTTAAAAAATTCTAGCATCACACTGAAAGACAGCAGATATCTAATTATGATAGTGATAAGTTTCAAAGAAATGTTCAAAGCAGAGTAGCTTGCGACAATGATTGAATTGAATAAAGCATAATAAGCGACAGTTCGACATTGAAGCAAACCTTGTTGAAAGATTCAAACTCTCCTGGGTACTGATCAATATATCCTGACGCGAATCATGCATAGTTGATCCTACTATCAACGACCAAACAACTGAGAATCGTGCTTGGAGCATACTAAAATTTTTTACCACGGTGTCTAAAGGATCTTTTGGGATAAGGGGATCTATTGAGAACTGATAAATCAAATATCCAATGTTGTAGAGCTTTTTGAGACGCGTCGAATGGTATATAGTAAATCCTGTTTTCATAAGACTTTAAAGGAACTAGAGTCAATTTACTGATAGACAACTACACATCCACATCCAAGCATGATAAGTTTCTGAATATTGTGATCCTTAATATTAGTCAAAAGTATTTGTAAAGTATTTTTTTTTCACATACGATTTTATCGAGTTTTTGACGAACTACAATTTCCTATATGTAGCATCTCCGGTCATCTTGTCAGTGTGGATGTGTAGTTATCTATCAGTAAATTGACTCTAGGTTCGTCAAAGTCCTATGAAAACAAGATTTACTGTATACCACTCGACGCACCTCAAAAAGCTCTACAACATGGTATATTTGGTTTTTCATTTCTCAATAGATCTCCTTATCCGAAAAGAATGTGCATTTTTTCACATGACAGATAAACATGTAACTTTCGTTATCGAAAACGACTTTCTTTTGCTCAGAAGTGATTGTATATCATTCAGAAAATAAAGAATTTTTCGAGGAAATGTCTTGCGCCATACATCTTTCAATATACTCTCGTGCTCTGATATTAAATATACCTTTGGAGTCTGAAAAAAAAAGACATTTAGTGGAAAAATTGTTGTATAATTCAGGAGTGTTTATGCTAACTATAGTGATAGAAGACATAGAATAGAATATTCTAACGCAATTTGAGTAGATTCGGACTGGTATTAAGGGGAGCGCCTTCGGAAGAATCCTTCTGGGTTTCTTCTAATCTCAACAGATTCTACGTAATGACTGAAGTTTTATCTCAAACATAAGATATTATCTCGGCTAGTTTCCTCGTAAATGCTAAATTAATATATTTTAGAACACAATTTGAACGCAAACAACCTGAGGATTCTGAACCAATTCAAACATCACGTGTTGTTACTGATGAAGTAGAAAATATATTTTTTATTTACAAAAATAAAATAAAATTCTTTTAAAATTAGGTTCATTTATGTGATGAAATATCTCGTTCAGATGTTGATGAAAGTGATGAAGTATGATATTGATTGATTATTTTAATTAATATTAAATTTACATCTTTTTCTCTATAAAAGGCACCAAATAATGATTATAGTCAACAATTTGTAAATATTAGTCAAAGACCACAAAATTATATTCGTGATGCTGGTTTGAATATTTATCTTTGAAATTAAATTCTATGTTTTATTTTATTTCTAATGATTAAAATAGGTCTTCAAAATCGTTTTGAAGAATATCCAAAATTACGAGAATTAATTCGTCTTAAAGATGAATATATTGATAAAACAAATCCACCACCAATGTATTTACGTTGTGATTTATTAGCAAATAATTTTACATTATCATCACTTGAGTGTGAATTTGATGTTATTCTTATTGAACCACCATTAGAAGAATATAAAAGAACAAGTGGAATTCATTTTGATCGTTATGTTACATGGGATGAAGTAAAAAAAAAAAAAGAAAAAGAAACCATTTCACATGAAAAATATTAATTGTGCTATTTTTTTTCATTGAATAAAAAAAACAGATAATGAAACTTGATGTCGAATCAGTAGCTGCACAACGATCATTTGTTTTTCTATGGTGTGGTTCGGCTGAAGGTTTAGATCAAGGAAGAATGGTAAGACAAAAAAATCAGAACAAAATACAAGAAACAAAAGTAATTGATATTATTATTTAGTGTCTAAAAAAATGGGGTTTTCGACGATGTGAAGATATTTGTTGGGTAAAAACAAATCGAACAAATCCACGATCAGCTCTAACATTTGAATCTGGCTCACTTTTTCAACGAACAAAAGTAAATTTTCGAAAAGACAACTTCTAGCTTAGCCCTAGGAAGCCTGTTCTATATAAATGTTATGTGCGGAGAGACATTCAATTTGGATTTGTAGGAAATAATGCAAGTTCATTATATTGAACACATATTTCCATAAAAGTACTCGATGATAAAAGCTTCTAAGCATTGCTAGCACCCTTTTTTCGACGAGGTTTTCCCACTTAATGTTATTAAATAGCCTGTATATCAGAGTATATGTTGCCTTATTTAAGTCATTAAAAAGTAGAGTTCGAAGAAAAAAATATCCAAAAACTCCAGTATAGGCTCTACCGCATGAACTGCATCTATCATGAAATTTTCAACAAGATCGGATTTTAAAAACTGGTTTTTTCTGAAGATTCTGAAGAAAGATTCGTACAGCTTAGAATTGGTTTTGAACTTCTCATTCGATTATAAGAGTATATTTTGTCATTTGTATATTCGTAGTCCGTCACGATGCTAACGCTAAGTTTTTTTTTTATACTGATAAATCATCGGAACAAAGGTTTTTAGCGCTGAAGTTTTAAGGATGTCTAGAATAACTTAACATACATGTATTATATAAAAGTTAACTCTAGAAAAGGTCATTATGTCGAGATACACATATTTTAGTTTTGCGTTGAGACCATGAATGATCGATAAACTCGACAAGAAAATATCGAAAAATGTATATGCATAGATTATAACATAAAAACCTAATATTTTCTTTTAATTTAAAGGAACATTGTCTAATGGGTATTCGTGGTACAGTTCGTCGATCAGTTGATTCTGATTTTATTCATGCAAATGTTGATATTGATTTAATAATAACGGAAGAACCTGAATGGGGTGATCCAAATAAACCTATTGAATTATATCATATTATTGAACATTTTTGTTTGGGTCGTCGTCGTCTTCATTTATTTGCACGTGAATCAACAATAAGACGTGGTTGGTTATCAATTGGTTCAGATATTTGTACATCAAAATTTGATAAACGTATATATAAAACATATTTTGAAACACCAATTACACAAGTTGAAAATTTAACTGAACGTATTGAACAACTTCGACCAAAATCACCACCACCAAAAGGTCTTAAAGCAATAGCAGGAACAACAGCAACAACAACAACAAATTCAAATTTAAATTCAA